AAAGTTATTAAACAATCTGCACACGAAAGTAAGAATTGGGTTCTCTTCTAAATAGAATGATTTTGTGGCCTTGTTGCCAAGGTTTTTAAAACCGGATCGGTCATTGAACCATTTTTAGGTTTGGTTTTTTGTTTAATCTGTTCAGTTGGTTGAATTGATGAACCAGTTGGTCCAAACAACAAGGAAGATTTGATGAGAGGAGCAAGCTGCGGCATGGATTTTCTAATTTGGTGTTGATAATTTTGTAATTTTGTTAAAATTAAATGTTAAAATGGGTATAAGAAAGGAATGGAAAGGGTGAAATTGGAAAAATTTGAAAGAAGATTGCATGAGAAATCGAACCGATGATTTTTCTAGTTTTATTGGTTTTTATCGGTTTGACCAGTTTTTGACCAGTTTTGATCGATTTTGACATCAAATAGTTTTCTTATGTAGACCAAACCATTTTCATCATCGGGTACTGATTCGACCAATTCAACCGACCGGTCCAATCCAATTTTAAAAACCTTGCTTGTTGCTAAGAAAAAAAGGTGATTACTTAAATAAAATGACCTAATATAAGGGTAAGATTCTATTTTTTTGGGAGCTAGTAATGATGTGTACTATTTTATATAGAAATTCATAGAGAGGAGAGAACACAGTAATCATTTGAATAATAAACTGATTGATATTGGAAGTTGTATCGTTTAATATTTGCTCTTTTACCAACACCAAATAACACCAAATTGTCGGTGTATTCAGGCAACATCAAACTCCGAACCGAACCTTTGTGGTATAATAGCTCAACTTTAAGTCTTAAGTGTTCGGGTAAAGTGATCAGAGTTTCGAGTTTCATTACCATCGTGAATTTCACCAAAAAATGACTTGATGGTTACACGCCTCATTTGAGGGGTGAAATGTTCACTCGATCTGAAAACCAATTACTAACAATTAACTCACTAATTTCCTAACTATTATCTTTGTCAAAAAAAAAAAAAAAAGCAACACCAAACTCCATGTTTATATCGATTGAGAGAAGCAGAAGTTCTATAAGAGAAGGTTGGCTACGGCAATATGAGACTCGCGAGGGATGGCGAGGTCCCGGC